TCCTCCTCCTCCTCTTCCTCCCCCGGGGACCATGATCGGCGTGCGCCGCGGCCCGGGCGGCAGCTGGGGACATGAGAAAGGTACCGGGGGGGGACACGCCGGGGGGGGCTGCGGGGACCCCGGGAAGGGTCCGGCGGCGGCGGCGGCGGCTGCTCAAGTTGCATCAGGTGGGTGGGAATGCGGGGATTTTCCTGCCACCCCACCCCTTATGCAAATGGCCGGGATGGCACCACGGGCTGATGCAAGGCGGGCACGGCGCAGCCACCGCCGCGACGCGGGCCCGGGCGGCCCCCGCCGCCTCCCCCGGCGGCGGGCGGGCGGCCATGGGCGGCGGGGAGGGCAGGGCCGGCCATGCGGAGCCCGCAGAGCCGCTCCCGGGATCCCCGCGGGGCGCTGGAGCCCCGGCAGGAGCAGCGCGGGGCTCCCCGGGTGGGCTGCGGGCTGGGGTACGGGGGGAAGGGGGGGTGGGGAGAGGGGGTGGGACCGCTGGGTGGGGACCCCCCCCCCAGCGCAGGGGCTGAAGGAAATGTGGTCTGTCTTGCAGGACATCGATTTGATTGACATCCTGTGGAGACAGGATATTGATCTCGGCGCTGGGCGAGAGATTTTTGACTACAGCCACCGGCAGAAAGAGAGCGAAGTGGACAAAGAGCTGAGCGATGGGAGGGAGCGCGGGGACAGCTGGAGGAGTGCAGGGAATGAGGTCTTGGATAGAAACCTGCTAGTTGATGGAGAGACCGGGGAGAGTTTCCCTGCGCAGGTAACGCCCCCGGGCCGGGCTCTGCTTGGGGGCCTCCGTGGGGGCCGCTCGGAGCTGCAGCAGCAGGGTTGGCCCAGGTGGGCGACAGGATTTGGCGCTGGCGAGGCCAGGGCAGGGCTGGCCCCGCGTGTCCCCGTGTCCCCGGCAGCCGCAGAGTCCCCTCAGCCCCGTGGCGAGTCCTTGTGTGGCAGGAGGCAGGGGAGAGGCTCTCCAGCGCGTTCCCGTTCCCTGGAGCAGCAGGATGGAGCACTGGGTGGGGCCTCTGGCTCTTTTTTGGATGCGCTGTAATAAAGCCCTGCTGGAAGGAGCTCGTTCCCTCAGCACCACCTTCCCCGAATCCCGAGGCTACGATTCCCTGTGTTTCCTTCCCCCCCAGGTGCCCGGTGCGGAGGATCAGACAGCCCTGTCCCTGGAGGAGTGCCTTAGGCTGCTGGAGGCCACCTTCCCTTTCGGGGAGAACTCGGAGGTGAGCGGATGGGGCGGATCCAGGGGCTCTCCCTGCCTCACCCACTGGGATTTCGGTGCCTCCAGCATCCTTCCCGCAGCGAACCGGGTTTGGCCGCTCAGGAGGCTCCTTGAAACCACCCAAGGAGGGGGTGGGCCACCATTAATTAAAGCCTCCTGGCTTTGCTCCTCGTTAGTCCGTGGCAAGGCAGGGAGGAGCAGGCAGGCCGTGACCGGGAGCAGCGGGAAGGGCGCTGGGCTGGGGGGTGGCTGCAGTGCCGAGGCTCCAGCCCTGACTCCCCTCACGTGCTCAGTTCCCAGCTGCGGATGTCTCCGCCCTGAGCGAAGCCGTCCCCGGGCAGAGCCGGGCCCCGGGCGGCCCCCCCACCCTACTGTCCCCCCTCCTGGCCGAGAACGAGTCGCCCTTCGACCTGGAGCAGCAGTGGCAGGACCTCATGTCCATCATGGAGATGCAGGTGAGCCCCGGGAGAGGGACGGGAAGGGCTTTGTCCCCCCAGGTGCTCCGTGAGTCTGGGTGTGGTGACGCCGTGGTGGCCCTGTGGCCCATCTGCTGCAGCCGGATGGGGGGAGCTCCTTCCAGCCTGGAACGTCGTCCTGTCCTTCACCGCTGTCCCCGCGTCTCTTCCAGGCCATGGAAGTGAACTCCACGACGGGCGAGAGCCTGTTCGGCGGCACCGGCGGAGACCTCCTGGCGTCCAACTACAGCCTGGCCCCCGGCACCCCCATCAACCAGAACGTGAGCCTGCATCAGGCCTCGCTGGGCAGCTGCTCCCAGGACTTCTCCCTCTTCAGCTCCGAGATCGAGAGCCCCTCCATGGTGGGCGGCTCGGCCCTGCTGCAGCTGACGCCGGACAACTCCACCGGCCTCAACAGCACCTTCGGCTCCACCAACCTGAGCGGGATCTTCTTCCCGCCCCAGATGAACAGCACGGGCAACGAGACGGCCGGGCCCGAGCTGCCCGACCCGCTGGGAGGGCTCCTGGACGAGGCCATGCTGGATGAGATCAGCCTCATGGACCTGGCCATCGAGGAGGGCTTCAACCCCGTGCAGGCCTCGCAGCTGGAAGAGGAGTTCGACTCCGACTCAGGTCTTTCCCTGGATTCTGGCCACAGCCCCGCTTCTCTGAGCAGCTCGGAAGCCTCGTCCTCCTCGTCCTCTTCCTCCTCGTCCTCGTCCTCCTCCTCGTTTTCCGAGGAAGGGGCCGTGGGCTACAGCTCCGACTCGGAGAACGTGGACTTCGAGGAAGCGGAAGGGGCGGTGGGATACCAGCCGGAGTACAGCAAGTTCTGCCGCATGAGCTACCAGGACCCGGCCCAGCTCCATTACCTGCCTTACCTGGAGCACGTTGGCCACAACCACACCTACAACATGGCCCCGGGGGCCCTGGATCCCGAGGAGCCCAAACTGCCCGGCGGCGGCAAGAAGAGCGGCGGCCCCAAGGAGAAACCGTCCGAGTTCCTGGACAAGCAGATGAGCAGGGACGAGCACCGAGCCAGGGCCATGAAGATCCCCTTCACCAACGACAAGATCATCAACCTGCCCGTGGAGGAGTTCAACGAGCTCCTGTCCAAGTACCAGCTCAGCGAGGCCCAGCTCAGCCTCATCCGCGACATCCGCCGGCGCGGCAAGAACAAGATGGCGGCGCAGAACTGCCGCAAGAGGAAGCTGGACACCATCCTCAACCTGGAACGGGACGTGGAGGACCTGCAGCGCGACAAGTCCAAACTGCTCAGGGAGAAGGTGGAGTTCCTCAAGTCCATCCGGCAGATGAAGCAGAAGGTGCAGAGCCTGTACCAGGAGGTGTTCGGGCGGCTGCGGGACGAGCAGGGGCGGCCCTACTCGCCCAGCCAGTACGCGCTGCAGTACGGCAGCGACGGCTCCGTCCTGCTCATCCCCCGCGGCCCCGCCGAGCCCCAGCCCCGGCGCCAGGACCGCAAGCAGAAGGACCGCAGGAAGTGAGGGGCAAGGGGAGAGAAGCAGGAGCGGGGACGCTTCGCCACGAGGGGAGAGAGAGAGAGAACTGGAGAAGGGCTGAGCCTGGAAGTAACTTTTAGAGGAACTTTCATGCCTTCTTATCCGATATATCTTCTCAACCACGCAACGGGGGGGAACTGGCGCTGCCGGACGCTGCGGGAGCCGCGGGGGGGCCGAGGTTTTTTGTGGGGGTTTGGAGGGACGAGAGGAGGAGCCCCCCCTGCGCTGCCCAGCCCGGAGCCTCCCACAACCCGGGATCCTTGGAGCGCAGGGACGAGCTGGCAAACGCTGCTGGGGAGGTTGGCAGAGGTGGAAAACAAAAAAAAAACAAAAACTACTGTTAGGAACTGGCTTTAAGTAAGAAAAGAC